TTTTTTTTTTTTGTTTTTTTTTGTTTTTTTTTTTTTTTTTCTAAAAACTTTGCTTTTTGTAATAATCTCTTAAGAAAGTATAGCCATCTATGGAGGTCACGTGGTCGGATGGCAAGCAGATTTCAGATTTGTTGCTATAACTGCCGTTTTTGTGGTAAAATATAATATATGTTTCTATGAGTTGTTTACAATGTATTTATTGTGAAATATAGATTTCATTCTAGGAGTTGTTTTCTCTTTAGTTTTCATACAAATGTATGTATAAATGTATTAATATTTATACAGTGTTCTACTCGGGTACTTTTAGCTCCTGAACGGCAATTTAGATATTTTCGTTCTATCAGTGTGAATAACAGACTGAATAATAGACTCCTTTCATATAAATTACCAGTTATTCTATGTCAATCCTCTTTTTCTCTAGCAACAGTGTATAGAGCCCGCACTGGTTTCCGCAATGACAGCTAGGCGGCCCTACGGAAGCGGCATATGTGATTTGTTGAGGTTTATTAGAAATGTGGACGTTCACCTGAAAGATAAGTGAGTGAAATTTTACTGTTTTATAACTTTTAATTTGAAGAAATGATCTCTACTTTATTAATGTTCCTGTATAAAGAAAAAGGAAAGAAAACATTTTCTGTAGTATGACAAACTTTATTTTTTTATTTTTGTAGAACTATACCTATAACATTATGACATACCTGTAGCGAGTAGAATCTTTCTTAATTTTTAAAGTGTTTAAATTCCAAATAAAAGAGTGATACACCCCATTTCCATAGATTTTTAGATCGATCTATCCCTGAGGGGAGTCTCACCAGGTTACTGTCAGCTTGGCCGGCTTAAGCGTCTGTCCCGCCTACTAAAAGCTGTAAGGGGGTAATTAACTATGGTGCCCGCTCGGCTAACTGCAATTTAGCGTGAACCCCCAGGGAGTTAGGTCGATCTAAAACTTAATCTTTAGATCGATCTAAATCTCTGGGAAAGCACCCAAAGACTTTGTGGTACCGAATGTCACTTATTTCTGAATAATTCCATTTTCCAGGCCTCCTTCATTGCAGCAGACGATCTGCCAGCCGATAGAGTATTTCACTAAGTGTCTTCCGTTTGATACGTTGTTTATGGGGCTGTACAAAGTTTTAAGGAGAACCCGAAACTCCGCAGACGACTGGACTGTGCGGCCATCTTTCAAAGACAGTTTCCATGCACAAAATTCGCACATTTGAGAGACAAGCATTTTCATGTTAAGAATCGGGGAAAAGCTTTGTGATTTATGATTCAGTCTCAAAAAGTGCAGTTTTATTTGTCAGCGAGTCAATCTGTTTGCTATTATAATACACAAGGGTGTATTTGGCGGGAGATTTAAGGTTAATTTCCCTTAAGTACTACTAGTTAACAAGAAAATTAGGTTATTTTATGTGCAGGTGAATTATAATAATATTGCATGCTTCTTCATTCCGTACTTTATTTTTTTATAAATAATATATAACTACGATTGGTCGAACCGATTTTAAACTTTTGTTTTTTGTGAGTTTATGTTATAGTATTCAAGAAACATTTTTTGATAAAATCTATCGTCAAATATTGCATACGTAGGGTTCACATAGCGGTAACTAACACCATCAATAATGATTTAATTTTTATAAAAAGGTTTTTGGCACCTTCGCAGCAGTTCAGTGAACAGTCAGCACACTGCTTGTAAACGGTTCTAATGTAGTGATTTGCATCCTAATTTTGGCCAAGCTTTAATAGGAAACACAATAATGATGATAATATTCATTATGTATTCCACATATTATCAACTTCACTCTCACATTTTACGTAAGTACAGTTAGAACATTCCCAATGCACGTATAAAGACTTCTAGTGTCCACGTGGTGTTTGATAATATGTACAAGTATGTTGACAAAAACAGTTGTTGATATACCGGCACGGCACACAACCAAATGTATTATTATACATTGTTTAACTTACATTAAGGAATAAACATTGGTCTTAATCAGAGAACATTTGCCTCACGATTCGCCAGCTCGTAGTCTTCTTTTCGTGGTGCTCGAAAACCTTTTTACTACTGAATGCCCCAGTGTCTTTTCCGGTCTTTCTCATCATTTATATCTGCATAGTAGCAAACACTCCCCCCTCCAACCCGGCTGTGACACTGCAAGACATTGAAAACATCATTAATGTCTATAGTTGATATCTTCGGCGTCGAATTAGTCTAGATATATCGTTATGAATTTGCTCCCTAACGACCTTACTGTAACATTGTGTCCATTCGATACATCTTTATCATGATGCGGTTTCACAAAGTTTATCTTAATTTGTTGACCGAAAAGTTGAGTCGGTTTGCCCAAAGACATATATTAGCAATAGTACATTCAAATGGGGATGTTAGTCCTGTTTTACAAAATGCAAAAGAAAAAAAAAGTTCGCCCTTAAGACCAACTGCCGCTAGCTATAGACTCTTTAAGGCCGTGCTAAAATCTAATGCTCCGTCGCTAGTTAGGGCACTTAACCAAACTTTTGGAAATGATCTGAGTGCTACATGTATACTGCTTTCTAAAATTATATTCCCGACGCGTAGTGTTTCAGCCTTGTTGCTGATAGGTAACATGGGGCTCCACCTCATGCGGATTCTAACAGGTATCTTGGCCCCTGTGCCGTCTCCTGGCAATGCCGACAGTCCCGATTTAGGCTACCTCAGATGATTAACATTGATGCCGTTCTGAAACAAGTGGCTGTTCTTATCATTCCCGTCTGTTGACTCAGAGGTTTATTTGTATTTGGAAAGCCTGGGGCTTAGCGGGCACAAGATAACACAATGATTCTGAATGAACCCCGTCAGAAGTAGGCCAGATTGGTGAATGTATACAAGGCAGGTTGTAAGATACAGAATATTCGTCTAGCTACGGTAGAACAAGCTTCTCTGTCTGCAGAAAGATATTCTTAGCCCAGGAGGCAGCTCTTTACAGCTGCAGAGAACACGGTTGCTCTGAGCATTATGGACAAAACAACAGAGAAGAAAGAGTCTGAAAAGAATGACTTGACAGAGAAAGCGTGGCCAAAGGTGGTCAAAAACATTTACATCAACCTTATTTGGATTGCTCTGGTAAGTTCTGCATTCAAAAAATCAATCACTCTGTTTTATAGATGTTAAAACTTTTAATTTGCGAAACCATGTCTGCATGTACCAGGACCACACAGCGGATTCTAACACTGTATAACTTATAATCACAGATATTTCCATGGCTGCTCTACTTGCTGAGTAAAATCCGATGAGCGTTTTTCCATAACTGCGTCATTACCCATCCAGCATCCGGTGGACATAACTATATGTATAGTATTCACGTGTTTTTAACACGTCCAGTCTTAATTAACTTGGGCTATGTAACATTTACTTATTTACTAAAGCATACATCTATTTGCGGGGTAGAGTTCAGTCTGACAACAACTCCCTTATCAATATGGCCACTTAATCTGAAGCTATTTTACACTCTAAACTTGTGCAATGTATGTGACACAAAAAACTGTTTATATCACTTCTGATGATGCGCATGTCATCGCATAGACAGATCCCGTGGGAGGTCACGGGGCTGCAGAACCAGGGATTTGCAAGTGAAATGTCAACTTTGAATATGTATTTGTGCAGGAACCTACGTGATCTAAATAGGTTATATTTGTGTCCTCAAACAGAGATACTGGCATATGTCGGTTTTTCTTAAGTTTCTCTCTCGCTCTCTCTCTCTCTCTCACACACACACACACACACACACACACACACATTTCGGACATTTACTCAGTTAATTATGAGACCATAGATTTAATGAATAACAAACATATCAATTTCCAGGGAATGGCGTTGGAGCTGACAGGACCCTCATTACAAGACCTGAAGGACAGGGTGGACAGCAATTACGAAGAAATAGCCAGAGCAGTCATAGGACGCTCAGCCGGTTTCTTCGTCGGGTCATTTGGAGGTGGCTTTCTATGTGACCGGTTCCAAAGACACGTGGATTTAATCCTTGTTGCATTCTTATGTGTGGCTGCTGTAGGAACGTTCGCAATTCCCTGGTGCTCGGTTTTACCACTTCTCTGGTTTATGTTCGTCCTGCAGGGGATGTCAGAAGGTGTACTGGCCACGGGTAAGAAAAAAGAGAAAAAGGGGTCTAGCAGATAAAAAATGATAAACAAATGATGCTAAATGATATACTCGCCCTACTTTTGTCTGTTGCAATACAAAGGCTTTTCTGTCTGTTCACTGTTAAACGATTACACAATTTATGTGAAATGTGACAGTGAAAGTTTTTTGGCAACAGATTATAGATGCAATAAGCATGTGTTTCGTTATCATAATAAAAGCATGGCATGTTCTCAAAGCTATTCTGTTTCAAAATATTTTGTTTCTATCCAGGGGCCCACGTGGTAATTCTGAGACTATGGGGCGAAGAAACGGCACCATCGGTGTATTCCTTGCACCTCTCGTATGGTATCGGGGCTTTCCTGTCGCCCCTGGTGGCGAAGCCTTTCCTCTCCAAATCTTCTCCGATTACGGACGACTCGAAAGATGGAAACATGTCGCTTTTTGCAAACTTGTCTACGCACAGTCCATTCGATTTACAGATTTTGCAGTCCACCCCGGCCTTTGAGACAGTCTTTGGTGCCTTGGTGTCCAACATAACCAACAATATAACCCATGCTAACAGCACATCTTACGTCGTAAGTCAATCAACGATTGAGTATGGCTATAGTATTGCTGGCATAGCATTGTCAGTCATGATTCCCTTTGGTTTGTTCTTCCAAATTAAACGCTTCCCTAAAGTTGAAATTAAAATCAAGGATCCTACATTTGTGAATATATTTTCGCCGGGCACTTGCGCTGAAGGGGACACCGTTTTTGGTTTCAAAATTTTCATTTTGTTGTTTCTGTTCTACTTTCATGGGATAGGAGGAGTTGAGCATAGCTGGGGGAAATACTTATTCAGTTTTGCCAGAGAGAGCGAGAATCATTTCTCGAAAGATGAAGCTGCTGTTCTAAATTCCGTTTACTGGGGTGGGTTTTGTCTGGGGCGAATATCTGGCGTACTATTCTCCAAATGGGTCCACCCGGCCGTTCTGCTGGTGATCGTCCTGTCGGGCAACATAACATCGTCCGCCATATTGGCCTTTATTGGGTACAGAGACCGTATAGTCATGTGGGTTTTCACCTTCCTGTTCGGTGTGACCGTGAGTGTGATATTTGGTGCGTGTGTGGCCTGGACCAATCACTACATGACCGTGACCGGCATGGCTGTTGGGGTACTTTATATAGGAACTGCAGCGGGGGGTTTGCTCTACCAATGGCTGGCAGGGTATCTCCTGCAGTACTACGGTCCCAATGCCATGATGTATATGATATTAGCGTGCGGCGTTGTCGCAGGCGGCTTGTTTGCTACAATGCAGTTCTTAATGATGACAGCGTCTGTTAAAGACAATGAAAAAGACTCTGTGTCTGATAAAGGGAGTAAAAACTCGGTTAATGAGTATGAATTAGTTAATTGTGATGAAAAGGTGGAGGATATGCACAAAGAAGATAAAGTATGAAGTTTGTATTTGATAATGCGAGAGGGGAAAGCCCCTAACATTAAACATGTTCAATCTCGTGGACTGCAGTTTGCGGCATTTTACAAATAAACATTTTTTGGCAAAGTCCCATGTGGAAAGAAAGCACACCTTAAGTCTATTTTCACTCAGCAACTATCATATTACTCGTAAGGATCTTGCAAGAGTGTATTTTTGCCAAAACAATCCGCAGATACTACAAAGTTGTGCATGTGAGAACGTTTGCATTTTGATATGTCAGATAAACCTTGTGTGGCTCAAACGCGTATTATTGCGTGGAATTATAATACTACGTGTAAGTTATACTAGATATAGAGAAATAAACGATATGTTGGTGACAACTTACTCTTTTTTATTTTATAATGACGTTAGAACAATTTTCTTCACATAGTTTTGGTAAAGTTTAAATTTTATTGAATCAAATATGGCAGCCTATTTGAATCCTTTTTTTGCATTTTTTCTTTTCTTTTCTTTTTTTCTTTCTTTTTTCGTTATCATATATGTTGTCGATAATAAGATTCAATAAAAGAACAAATAAGTCACAACGATAGATAAGGTAGGTCTTTACAGAATGCTCAATATCAGAGTAAACTAAATGATAAAATAAATAAAGTTCATCTAAATAAAATTTTCTAAATATCTAAGATAACGAAATGATTTATAAATAAATCAATTAATTAACTAGAAGATTTCAAACAAACTTACAAGTAGATATAATCATCAAAGTCAGATGAGAGCGCCATTCATACCCCGAGCGTGTATCGACAGGACTGCTGCAAGCAAGATAGAATTTGATAAAAGATGGAACCGGACTGTCTTGGCGCTTCCCCCTATGGAGCAAGACGGAAACGAAAACCGAAAACAACACATGTTCCAAGGTAATGTACACCGACGACTTCAGCTGTAATTTCATGTAGCAGATATTTTAAGAAAAACAGAACATGTTTTCATTGTCAGGGATACTGGCCTATGTAGCTGGAAGGGGGAGAATCCCCTCAGGTTAGTGGTTCGTAAATAAATCTCTTGAGAATCTCTGGTTTGTCCTTGCAAGTGCAAGGCAAATTAGAAATAAGAGCAAGAGCTACTTCATCCTGATAAAGCATAAACTTGTATGTGAAGCACTTTATTTGCAGCCTTAAACTTCCACGAAGTTTTAAGATTTTAAAGTAGATTATTGTGAGCCTAGTGGCGAAAACGATCTCTCACACTTTCAGTTTTTCTCTGATATAGATGTACCCGGTATCTTAATTGACCCTGTTTGCACGAAATTCTTTCTGATATGCCTACTGGATGTGCTTATATGCAATAATGTCATTTAACACTTTTTGAGGCCATGCTTATGCATGAAAGCAAAGGCCTCCAAAAGTGTAAAATGACGATCAGTTTGCACATCTGCTGTGATGTGCAAGCTTGCAATTTTTTACTTTCCCTCTCAACACCTCACACACTTCTGTAAAACCTACATAGTCTTTCCATCAATAGAGCGAGGCATAAGGCAAGGGACCATTTCCAGACCCTATTGTACTATCTGTGGATTGCTTTATCTCAGAGGGGATTCTCGCTAAATTGCTATCAACTTAATTAAGTGGCTTAATTAAATATCTGTCACGCCTACTGAAGCTGTTAGGGAGTAATTAACTATTGTTTAGCAGCTTCAGTAGGCATGCTAGAAGTCTTAGCTGCTTAAGCTGAAAGCAATTTAATGAGAAACCCCTTGGAGATGGATCTATACTGTTAGATAGATCTAGGCCTGGGAACCCTGTCTAAGATTCATCTGCTTGTCTACCAGGTATACCTATATACAGCAGTCCAATCATACACATGCTTTCAAGGGGAATAGGCAATAGCTAACGCATGAATTTCATACTACATGTAGTTGTTGACACATATTCTCCCACCTGAGTAACAAACAGATTTTGCTGAAGTAAACCTTTAATTACCAGTATTTGTAACAGACTTATGAAATTGTTTTACTTGTTAATTAACCAGTACAGTTTGCTAGATGCATATTTTACATATATTCATAAAGTGGACTTCTTCACAGTGCATTTTCTTCTCAGTTTTTGGGCTTATATGCTAAAAAACATAATGCAGCTGATTAGGGTGGTAATTGAAGGTTCACAGCAAATTATTTTTGCACATATATTCTGCCACTGTATTCAGCCTTATATGCTATTTATAGGTCCTTAGATAGGCTGCACTGCCTTTTTTTAACCAAATAAGTTCCTCACCTAAAGTGTTTTTTTTTTTTGTGTGTGTGTGTGTGTGTGTGTGTGTGTGTGTGTGTGTGTGTGTGTGATCATTTTATTACATTAAAAGGAAAGCATATTTTTGAAATTATAGCAAACCTGTACAATGTTCAAAATCAGCATTATATCACTTAAATCAGCTTTTTACTTATTTGACTACCTTTTCAGGTCTTCCTCCATTGAAGAGACACATGGCTGATCATCTCGTGAACAGTGCCATAATGCTGGACATGGTGAAAGCAATCATTCCACCATTAACCTTTGACCTTCATAAAGGTCAGGCAGGTCGCATCGCAGTGGTGGGAGGATGTCAAGAGTAAGTAAGCAAGATTATGAAAGTAGCCCATGGTTTTGCTTTAGTTACTTTGACATGTCATCATATTGATTACTGTATAGAAGGCAGTAACTAGTAAACTGTAGGGACTGTGAGTCCTTTGTTACAGTTGTAATATATTTATATTAAGCAACAACTTAACCGTGTTCTTCTGACTTATGCTGTTTAATTCTAATTTAAATTGTCTGTTTCAGGTACACTGGGGCTCCATATTTTGCAGCAATCTCAGCTTTGAAACTGGTAAATATTACATTTCTTTTGATTTACTGTATAAACATTTGTTGATAATGTTATATAATGTCTTCTTTTTACCATTATTTTGGTTCAAAACTTCTATAGATTAAAAAAATGTAAGTGGGGGTAAGACAAGATATGCTCATGGCACACCTGAATAAGCAATCATGTGAATGATAACAATGTAGTATGCTGTGATATCTTGTGCTGTGTTGTGTGGCCTTTTATAATGTACTAGTATTGTCATAATAGAAAAATATTGTACAGTTTCATTTGTTTCCATATCTTACTCCTGCCTTCTAAACAAAATCAAGCCCTTTTCTCCATTATGAACTACCAGTACGGTAAAGTCTTGAAAATTTCGNCGAAATTTTCAAGAACGACGAAATTTTCAAGACTTTACCGTATACTTAATGCTCACCATTGAAAGATTCAAGATGATACAATTATATTTTGTAGTGTTCTGTGCTTTTAACTAAAAATATCTTAGGCATCTGCTATATTTTAGATTTGGACTGGGGGGGGAGGGGGGGTTAGGCTGGGACCAGTGATAACAAAGATCATTATCTTCCAGGGAGCAGACCTGTCTCATGTGTTCTGTACCAGAGATGCTGCCACAGTTATCAAGTCTTACAGCCCTGAGCTCATTGTACACCCTATTCTGTGAGTACTGTGTGTATTTAAAGCAATGTTATTGTTTCAATATTACCAACAGACTGCTTATAATATACACATTATTGACACCGTTGCTATGAGCCAGAATTGGTATGTTTTAAGGAACATGCACCCTGCACCCAGCAATTTTAAAAAGGAGTTCTGTTTTCTGAAAAGATTGGACCTTTTTACCTTGTTGGTTGACCCAATTTGAGAAACTGCACCAAACGTCAATCAAACTTTGATGCAGAGTAGACCCCCCCAACCCCTCTTGCCTACAGGTCTGATAGAGGTTAACATATTCTTGCAGTTTGGCCTAATCAGTAGCACTCTGAAGGTCATTCTGTCACTTTATTCCAGTGATGCCCCCAATGCAGTAGAGGAGATAGCAAGCTGGCTGCCACCTGTTGGAGATTTTGGCCCTGTCCATGCCGTGGTCATAGGGCCAGGCTTGGGGCTTAATGAGGCTAAAACACAAGTAGTAAAGGTATACAGGACAGCACACTTACAGAAACAAAGAAGTATTATGTTAATGGTAACAAGGTCAAACACTTTCAGCGGTAATAGGCTTGTATGAACATCTCAAATTTATTGTAAGAATTTTGATGGAAAATCAGAAGTTGATAGTGGTTGTTTATAGCATAAAAATGGAAACATGCCAGACACAAATGTGCAGATCATTGCAGCAGTAAAAAAACTGAAAGTCACCAAAGTTAAAATGATCTTTATACAGTCTTTGTCAGAAAAACGTGTAGCCTGCAGGTTGTTCAGGACCCAAGGATCCAATTGTCTACTGCACTTAAGCAGAAACAGTAGCATTAACAGTAATATTTATCTCTGGCCACAGTTTATTTAAGGACATTTGTGTGACACTGTATTTTCGTGCTGTACTGTATATCTTACTGTATTTCAAGCCTGAATTCTCTTCTTCAAATTTCAGCAAAATTTCTGTTTATACCAGTTATCTGTTGTTTGAAGACAATAGTTCTGTAAAAATATCTAAAAAAAAATTATGTTACCTTTTATTCTTACTGTCAGTGACCACCCCTCTGCTGTGACAGAAGTCAATCAGTGGTTGCCAAGGTTTCAGAGCATGGTGATTGGTCCAGGGTTGGGGAGGACCACCCCTATCCTGGAGACAGTTAAGGTTAGATATAAAGCACAGCACACAAGTATAGAGTAAACAGTTATTATAATTAAGTTTTGTGACAGTCATCATTTTTTAAGTTTGGCTACACGTCAAAAACTTGTACTAATTACTGATATTCCATCAATTGAAATTTATGTCTGCAAGATTTCAAAGATATCAAACTGGAAATCATATTGTTTTATTTTATTTTACATGTCTTATTTATATATATTGGTATTTATATTTTTCGAAGGTGTCATTTTAACTAAGTTTAAATTGCACTCTTGTTTTTAATCATGCTTTAAAGATATACCCTTTCCATGTTTAGAAGTCTCCAAATGTCTATGTGTTTAATTACAGGGTGTGATAGAAAAAGCCAAGGAACTTGAAATACCACTTGTTATAGATGCTGTAAGTAATACCCTCCTTAAAGTACAACCTCCTTAATATAATTGTTTTGTCTTTGTTTCATGAGAGGAGACAGTGAATTGGTTTCAGATTTGGACTGGTGAAACCTAGAATGTATTTTGGATAAACATTTGCATTAACATGTTTATCAAATGCTGGACTTTGACACATATTGGAGCTTACAGTTTAAATGTATTATACGAGTATTAGTCTCCCTGTACATTACTGATTTAATATGACAAAGGAAGTAGATATTCAACATGATTTACGTTTTTTATTTCCATATGTGGTTTTTGTTTGTGATCTTTTGAAAAATCTCTTAAGAAATAATCTCTAAAGACCTGCCAAAGTTGCCATCAGCAGCCATGGTGGAACGTTTATCATGATTTCATTTTGTTATGCCTTCTTTTTATATTTAAAGGATGGATTATTTCTGGTCACCCAGGACCCAGATGTGATAAAGAGTTACACAAAGACCATACTAACACCCAACATTGTGGAATTTGAAAGACTTTTTCAAAAAATGGTAAATATTCAAATTTTGAAATAATGTTAATGTAAGACTTATTATTATTATTATTATTATTATTATTATTATTATTATTATTTTGTATTTATAAAGCCAAATTAAAAAGATTTTTCTTTGTATCAGCCATCTGCTGTTTTTTTTTTAAATAAAATTTATCAATATTATCTGCCTCAGTTTGCAAGGATATTTGTGCTGGAATTGAGAAAATGTTCATAAAAATATTTAACTCACAAGTTTTTTTAATTCCACAGATGGGCCACAAACCTGACCCATTAGAGGCAGTTGAGAATGTCACCCAGCTGTCCAAGGCACTTGGGAATGTCACCATAGTACAGAAGGGAGACCATGATGTCATCTCAGATGGGAATAAAGGTGTGTCACCTGTATCTTTCACTATTGCTAGTTGCAGCACCTCTAACGCAATACCTGTATCTTTTGCTAGTCTATTGCTAGTTGCAGCACCATCCAGTTCCTAAGTGGACTACTAAAGTCATGAAATGTGAATAAGAGCCAAAATATATATACAGTTGATACTTGATGTGACAGAAATGTGTAAGGTGATCCTTGTTACCTGTTAGTTCTGTTTCACATTACACTATAGCTTCACAGGTAACTCTCTTGGTTGGTGTGAAAAGACAGAGTGTTTTGTTTCTTCACCTATGTGTAGTTGACACAAACAAATTGCCTTGCCTTACATTGAATGTTGATGTCTCTATGTTACATTGTCTACACTTAATAGAACTGTCTAAAAGTACTTAAGGCCGGTGATAGGGTTAAATACGCTTAGAATCATGTTTTTGAGTTTTTTGTGTGTTTATATTAATCAAATAAGTATCTAACGTTGGATGTAATAATTTTTATGAATTTGCATCGCAAAATCTGTCTTTTGATGAGTTTTTCAACCGGCACGCGCCCCAGTCAGGCTGACAACTAAGCCACGCCTCTGTTACTAAGGGCCGTTACCATGAGGGGGTCGGAGCACAGTTAATGAGTTATAAGCCGATTACGTGTGCGGTAATAGGTCATAAGTCTTACATCAGCTTAGCAGCGAAGAAGTCTAGCTAGTACACTATGGGGAAAGAGAAAAGTTCGTGTTAAAAGTCCATTTCCAGAGGAAAGAAAGAAAATTTTGAAAGAGAGTAGGGCCTATGCGTGGCGGTTGGGGAAAACCCGCCCTATTTGTTCAGTCGGATAACTGATTTCTGTATACCTAATAAATGGGTGAAAGAGTTAATCGAATCGCCTAAATTAATTGACAAATGAAAGAAAAATCGATAAATAAGTTTAAAAAAACGCTAAAAAGGATACTTTTAGCATAGCTCTTAATTTTTGCGGTATATATCGGCGAGCGTATCTGCGACACGTTACGAAACCGGAAATGATTGTTGGTCGCCGTTTGCAAAAGGTAAATCTAATGTTGACAAAATAAAATTTTATTCTCCAAGATATGATATCATGGAGCTTGAGAGACACGCGAAAAATTGTGATGTGAATGGCCAAACGAGAGAAATCCAAGCAAGGGTTGACAGCATGATTAAAACAATAAAAATAAAAACGCATGTTAGCGGCTTTGCATTTTGCGGTGTTTGGAGAAAAACAATTTCAAAATAACTGATCAAGCGGGAAGAAAGAGTTCAAAATGTATCCAAAAATGAAAATCACAAAAAGACTCCGAAAATAGTCAAGACTAGCAGGTAAAAAGCAAATAGGGTCTAAGTGTCATGTGTGTAAAAATGAAATATTTATTCAAAAGACTTCTCTCAGCCACTTTTACCGCTGAATCTTGTGCAGCTGAGCGTCTCCCCTTTATTTTAGCTGGCATTTTGAGAGAGATCGCTCCGAAGTAATCACTGGATTTTTTCCGTTGATCTGACGATTACCAAGTGCCGTGCAAAATAATCCTGCAGCATTACCCGTCAAAAAACTCTTATTAACACAAGTGACGGCCACTTGCTCTCGACAGACAGTTTTATCTGATCACTTTGCCGATAACAGAAAAGGAATCTCCCAGGTAAAATTACTCGTTTGCCGAAGAAAAGCCATTGAAACGTTCAAATGCAACTTCACACCTCTTAATTGCGGTTAAATGTAATCGCCTTTGTTAGCGCTTCCTTCTACATATCCTTGACACCCTACTGGGCATCACTAACCTAAGGCCCTCTCCAGAGCTGTCAATCAAAATCGCGGCACGCTTACAAGCCTAACGAGTGGTCGAAAAATGTAACAAAAGCACGATTTTCTGCCCCTTCAAAGCACCCAAACAAAATATTTTTAGATGACAATAAGCAATGGTTCCATCTGATCGTATAACCGATAACAGGTAAATTTGCCAGCTAAGCATTTGACTAATAAGCCCTGTTAACCAACCTGTGAACGTTTTTGGCTGTTTTAACAGCTTTCTATATTGACGAGATAAGTGAATCGCTGCCAAGTATATCTCACTATCTGAGCAACCGATCGTTACAAAAGTTGCACCTATTGTTGTTAGGAATGTGGACTACAGCATGATATCAGGGGTTTAAGAGGAAATTGTTTGTTTGAAAGTTATCGCCTTTTGAAGTGAATAACCCATTGAAATATGGGCTGATTTAACGTAAAAGATGATAAAATCAAAAGTAAATAGTTTAAGACAATTCCCTGGTACCCCGCTGTAGTGCTTTTACCCAGCTTTATGAGGCCTTTTGAATCACTTGAATAGCTGTCTTGGTTATAGAGAAAACCCCAATACCGAAAACGGCATTTTTCCCCTCAAATTGGCGCCAGAGCGTCATCCGTTGGACACTGTACTTAATCCCCGTCTTTAATTGGCCTTTTGGGAAGTTTGTTTTAATTTTTTATAAAAACTTATAAGCCCAGGGCTTTGTTTCTATGACTTTGGTCCTTTTACTATCAGTCACCTTAAATTGGGTTGAATGGCTTCAAGTTACAAGTAGATAAGAACAGTTGTGCCAATCATCACAAACAGATGGTGAAACTTTCCTGCCCACAATAGTAAAAAAAAAACATGTTTGTTTAGCATTCATAATCATAAATGTTTTCCTTGTTCTGATGAATTGCCCAGACTGCACAATGGCTGACCTAGGATATCAGAAGGTTTTGGGGGACCTCAGGGAAGGGGGGAAGGGTCTGTCATTTATTGAGCTTAGCAGACACTGGTTTGATTACAATTTGGCTTTATTAAATTTTAATCAGATGAATGTTCCTCTACCTGCACGTGTAGCCATAGTTGAGGATTGAAATATTGATTCTGATGTCAGATGTAGTTGTTGCAGGAAGCCGCTTGTTTCCTATTTGGAAATAGCAGGAAAGAGACCTGCTTTATAAGAGAGTAATATCATTGGAAAAACTGTGATGGAAGACACTTGACAGTTACCAGTCAGAAGTTGTCCTGGCGATTGCTACATAACCTCTTTATATACTTGACCTCTGTAGAATTTGTTACTGTATTTTTAAATATAATGTCCAATTTCCTTATAAATTTATTTGTAACACACTGTGTCTTTAATAGTGTAATCAGTATAATGGGAAGTTACATATAGGACATGTAACTGTATTTTTGCCCCCTTGTCATTTGTGAATGAAGCAGTAAACACCAAATGCATTAATGAAAGAGGGATATATCCAATCAGAGTGTCAGAACACAGCTAGGCTGTGACTCTCCTCTCCACTGAATATTTTTGAATTCAGTACATATGACAGCTATGTTTCTAAAAGGAAACTTGCAGCTTTGACTCTAAGGCCCCAGAATAGATGACCCACACGCGGAGCCGAGATTTAATTCGTTTAATGGTGTGTGTGTGCAGGTAGAGGCGGAGACCATCAGGAATCTCTTTTGAAGTGTGATTGGCTATATCTGCTCCATGGATCAGTTAGAACTAGGATCATCTATTCTGAATGTGGACCTATAACTCGGGTTTTCTGTGACATGTTGCATGACCAACACTTTCCTTAAAGCATTAATTATCACAGGGCAGCAGAGTGTAGAGATCCAGATCTAGACTGGCGTTAAAAGCTTTGGCCATTCAAACATATCACTGGATCAATTAAGGCCAGTGAGAAAACTCAGGTTTTTCATTTGCTTTTGAACTGTAGTATTAGCAGTTAAAAAAAGGGTTTGCCATATTCACTTAACTAGGTGTACAAGTATTCAGGTGTCTGGAGGCGTGATAGCATTATGACTAAGAGCATGTATTTGTGATCAGGTGTTGCTGTATTTTTTGGTATAATTTAATTCTTTGAGGTTGAATGCATAAATGAAAGAACTACATATTAATTTAGGCAGAGAGAGAGAGGGGAGAAAGAGGGGGGGGGGAGAAAGAGAGAAAGAGAAAATGTGGAAATAATGAGATGGATCTCAGTAGTTTCAGTCCTAAAAATTTGGATCACAGATGATTTAGGCAAATGTTTTGTGTACAATAACACAGTTTTAGTTTTTTTAGCAAACCCTGTAGGGGATTCAATAATTCAGATAAAAAAGTAACAGAGATGTAAATATTTTGTTTAATGTTACAAGAAATTTGTGAAGATACAAATGTGGAAGCTAGTTGATATATGAGATCATTGATGAAGAGGTGTCTAGCAATTTTTCCCTTTGGAATTTTTTCAGTCTTTCTTTGTATTTTTCTTTGATAGTGCTACTCAGCAGACCGAAGATAACTGGAGTTTTTTCCTTTTTTTTTCTGCAGAACTGATCAAATTAATTTCAAATAAACGTCACATTTGAGTTTTTTGTTAGAAACCTGATCACATGATAATTTAGATTATTTAACCCTCTTTCCTCAGATATGGACAGCACCGGATGCTTATTCATGTTGCAAATTAGATTTTTCTAACCTTTCATTTTAATTCAGCATTTGTAATCACAATATCTACTCAGGTAGGGCTCAAGTGACTGGCAGGTCTTTGTTCAGAAATATTACAGGATTTGGAAAATGGTGTTAGCATCCGCTGGTTATCTCCGTACTAGTCATGCTGCTAATTGATAACCATCCAGTGGCATGATTTTATTTCCAGCTTGAATCAGAATGACAAGAAATGGAACTCGTACAAAATGTTAATTTTAGCTGTTAAGTCTTAGTAGGGAGATTGATATTTTAATCTCTGTTTCTATTTCTGTAATTGTTATTTTGCGGCTTTAACTTATAATTTTTTTATATTTTCATATTTATCTTCATACCATTGGTAAAATTTTGATAATCTCAAAAAAGTCTGGAGTACATAAAAAAAATGCTTATTACATGTTTGATTCATGTTTAGAAAATTTTATGTTGAAAGAATACATATTTTAAGGCAAGTTATATTAGATTTTTCAACCCATTTTGCCTTTAAGATAAGTTAAATGCTTAAATCAAATACCTGAACCTATTGTTCTACCCATAATTCTTACAGATTTTTCTTTATTCTTGAGATCAATGTTAAGATTTCTATCAACCCCCATATTTGGTTTCACAATGGCAGCAGACTTTAAGACTGGGTGATTTCTGTGTTTTGGATGATTTCTATTAATCATTTTTTTTGATTTGGTGACAGCTAACCCAGTCGAGCGATTAGAATCAAAAATGGTCTCAGATTGCATGTCCTCCATTTTTCTACTGCCATGATGGAAATAACCATGAAATATCAGATAACTGTAAAATCCAGTTTAACAGAGCTTGTTTGACTTTTTTGTCACCACCTTTTTACCACTGGTATATTTTGATGTAAAATAAATAAATTAAATGGAATTTTTTGTTGAAGAATTATCATGATTCTACTTTTCATTTTCAGTAATTGTCATCTACTTAATCACTCTCGCGCAAATTCTTTTAAACTTTTACATTAATGTGGCATCAACCATTCATTTAGTCAGTATGTGTGATTGACTTTCTCTGAGTTCTACACAGAATGACGTGATAAAAATCCTGACTGCATTTAAAATCAGATTTACAGTATCAAACAGTCAACCAATGACAGGTAATTTCAGACCTGCCAAGTGTATCAAACCAAGTTCCGGCTGTGACAAAATGTCACTTCCCTCCTCTAGAACATTCTCTGCTAGGCCACAGTAGTGAAAGGTCAGCTTTTTCTGTGGAATTAGTCAATGAATCAGAACATATTCTGGCAAATTATTATTAGTATTCAAGGAGTAATAAGAAGGTATGTGACATGACCTGAAATTTGTAAGATTTCAGCATATTGTAATATAAATTGTCATCTGCTATTGATTGGATGTAGTCTTTCTGTATACATGTATATATGTTTGGTAATAAGTCATTGCATGAGGGGGGTTTGTTGTCTTAGAATTTTCACATTTTTATTTTCACATTAATATATAAATTATAGTGTTTGTATTTTCAAGGAGTGTTACCTTCTTTTTAGATAATGGAATTGCTATCCATGCTCAAAAGATGTATTTTTCATAAGGCTGAATTTTAAGTAAAACCTGTATGCATTCATCAGACTTAAGTTAGGTAAAGAAATAAAAATAAAAAGTATATCGGTTGGTTATTTTCAATTAAGGAGCTCTATAAGATAATATAAAGATTTATTATGCCAGTAAATATATAAGATAATACAATATTAGGAATCCATAACCTCGTAAAAGTATTGTGTTAAAAAAGCTTTTAAGAGCAATAAATATTAGTAAGAGTATCATGGAAAGCACTAGTCACTGGTAGAAAATTGCTGAAAAAGCCACATTTGTTAATTGAATTTTTTCAGGCCAACATCCAATAATCTAACAATAAAAGGGACATGAGTATAGGCATCTATTGTATTCATACAATGTACTGATTGATCACTTTATCACATGAGAAAAAACATGGATGACACTTCTCATAAAACAAGAAAAGAAGGGTTATTGGGAAAGGTGATCAATTCCAGGTATTGGTCATTAAGGTCTGACATTTTGATGATTCTAACTGAACTCTCGGTGGCTTTGTAATTGATGAGAGCCAGACAGGGCTAATGCTTATACCTGAATGTGTGTTCAGACAGGGCTAATGCTTATACCTGAATGTGTGTTCAGACAGGGCTAATGCTGATACCTGAATGTGTGTTCAGACAGGGCTAATGCT